TCCCTACAGAGATTTCTCGGCGAGGTTTACCGGACCGCCGTCTCTGCCGGTGTCCACGAAGTGCTCCATTGATTTCGACAACGACATTGTCGCTCTGTCCAAGTGAGCGTCACGCGCTTTGTCGTTTTATTCGGGGCTGTCATCTAACGTGCGCCACATCGGTCGTGCATGGGAAATGAGGCCGTGGGAATATATTAGCGTTGACTCTCTCTCTCTTTACAGAGATAAATCAATTACCTTTTTGTATTCCCTTCTGTAATCTTTCTCCTTACAAAGAAAGTGTTGTATTTTAATTATCCTGTCCTCTTTCTTTCTAAATGTGGGAACTTTTCATGCAAGGTGGAGGGGATACAGAGGACAAAAATAGAAAGAATTTGTTATTTGACTTATCATACAACATAACACAAAGAGGAGGACCCAAAAAGCTTCGTCGTTGTCGGAGAGACTCGCCCTGAGCTGTGGCTCATAAGATGTCGGATTTGATCTGTCTCTTTCATTCCTAGTTGGAGCCGAAAAATAAAAAGAAAGTGTCAAATAGGCCCAAATTAAGAGCCTGGACCGCAGAAGGAATGGGCCATTATAATTATTATTTAAAATTAAAATTAAGCTACTGGACACATAATGGGCCGAGAGATACTATTCGTTAGGCCCACAAATGATGGTAGGTGTGTTTTCGGTTCTTCTCTAGTTTTATTGCCACCGGTGACAGTGTGTGTTATTTGTTGTGGTGTGTATAAATCTGATTGGGAAAATCCTTAATGTTGAAAGATTCCGTGTTTCTATGTATTTCAGTCTCCAGATATACATGGATTCTCAAATTAGTTTAAAATGTTCATATATTTAAATAAAATTTAATGAAGAAAAAAATGATTAATGTGGAGAGAGGTAAATCAGTCATATTAGGTCCATATGCTTCCTTCCGGGCGTCACACCCTATTATCGTAAGGCTTAAGTCTCTCTTCTCTTTCATCAGAGGTAAACTTCTTCTTCTTCATGATCAGCCGATGGAAGCCGAAGATGCCAAACGGCTCTCCTTTTCCTTACTCCTGCGAATCCAACAGAATTATATGATCGTTTGTGAATTTGTGGTCTTCGGCTTTGTAAATCGGATTGAATTTGTTCTCGATACGTCACCGACGATTTTCATTTCGACTAGATTGCACGGTTTTAGATTTCGGATTTCATTGGATCTGACATCGAGACGAAGTTACACTTGTTGTGAATTCTGAACTGCTCCGAGTTTGTGGCTTAACTTCGTTTCCTCGGATCAATTGTGATCGATCCGAACAAATGTATGAATTCTCAAAAAAGGGATGTCCTGTTGGCTTCTCGTGATCGACATGATCTGCGAATTAGTGATCGATTTCTTTTGATGAAGAGGTTTAGTTTCATATTTAGGGTTTCTAAACAACGATTCTCGTGCTTTGTGGATTTGAATGCCCGATTTATTGGGATCTCTTATTCCAAAATATCTCTCTTTATTTTTCCCACATTGGTTTCCTCGAACTGGATTATCTTTTTGCTCGCCCCTGATTTGTGATTTGTGCTGCTCTTGACAAACAGGTGTTAGAGTTTTTTATTGGTAAAACATGGATTCCAGCAGGGGTCATGGTGGGATTCAGCATTTGCTTGCTGCTGAACAGGAAGCTCAGCACATTGTCAATGCCGCAAGGAATGGTAATTACGGGTTTTCTTCTTATCCTCTGTTCCCTGATAATTAAAACACTTGAGATTGTGACAGTATATTGTTTGAATTGACCTTCATCGAAGCGCATCTCTGTAAGCGTGCTTAATCATGTTGACTGACAAGATCGCTCTCTTGAGAGGGCCTTTGACAACCCCCTTGGACGAAGCTTCGTTCCAAAGTGTGAACTTCTTTTTCGCCAGGTTTCATTCGATTTTAGTATGTAATGGGTATGGAGCTCCAGATTTCTGATACTTAAGGGTGGCCTGTCATGAGACTGTTGAAGTTTTAGCATTTGGGTGATAATGCATATTCTTCATCCCCAAAGCATGATGAACACTTCGCTTATCATGACCACACGTGAGAGATTATACCGACCTGCAGCAAAAGGCTTACAAAACCACAACTTGAGATGGCTGATGTGTAGGGTTTATGCGTGTTATCTGTTCCTGGTTGCAGCAAAAATGGCAAGGCTGAAGCAAGCCAAGGAAGAGGCCGAGAAAGAGATTGCTGAATACCGAGCCCAAATGGAGCAGGAGTTCCAGAGGAAACTCACCGAGGTAAAAACAAAAACCCTTCTCATCCAACAAGATCACCATGATCCTTTTCATATAATGGCCTCTCTTAACGAACAGTAATGACAAAAAATTGTGCAAAAAAAACAGAGCAGCGGAGACTCGGGGGCGAACGTGAAGAGGCTGGAGCAAGAGACAGATGACAAAATCCATCATTTGAAGACGGAGGCTTCGAGAATTTCGAACGATGTGGTGGACATGCTTCTGAAGCATGTCACCACAGTGAAGAACTGAGTTATATGTGAAGAAGGTGGTCTTTGGGTTTCTTCTTCTGTTTGTGATGACCTTATCTGTTTCTCTCGTTGTGTTGGTGTGTAATTTTGTCGAAGTTAACTCGTTAGCGAGTTGATAACATTTGAACCTTTTCTTCAGGAAAAAGGTATCAATATATACATCGAAATAAAGTAAATTCATTCATATGTTAGGCTTTACCGAATTCCCAAGTTGGAATCCTCAGAATGTTCGGAATGGGCTTTTAAGTGTTTTGTTCTTGGGCTTACACACACGGCCCAACATTGCCTGTGCCGACAGAGCAAAGTACTGTCAGATTGTTTATATAGACACGCGTGAGAGAAGCGCGTGGAATCCACAATTCTCATAGATGCCTTCTAGGCCCATCGAATAACCTAAAGGGCCTATATTGATCGTTTAGTCAGCGACATGGTTTGGTTTGCAACGCTTTCCAGCCGGGAACGAATTCATGGGCCCTAGTCCCCTTTATAAAGGGCTCTTTCTCTTGATTTCTTCACAGTACAAAAAAAAATGAAAAAATAAAATATAAATACTTTAATTTTCACAAAAATCTCACATCAATATCTAAACTATAAAATTTTCATATAAATACCTAAATTTTTAAAAATTATATATAAATATTTAGATTTTAAAAAAAAATTCTAAATAAATATATATTTCAGATATTTTTTAAATAAAAATAGATGATATTATTAACGTATTTTTAGTTTATTTAAAAAAATTTCAAAAATCTAAATATTTATATAAAATTTTAAAAATTTTAGATATTTATATAAAAATTTTATGGTACAAATATTTATATAAGATTGTTATAAAAGTTAATTTTATATGCCATTTTCCTTACAAAAGAAAATGAGCTTGGCTTCGTCTGCAACAGAATTTTTATCATAGGCACGTGATAGTCACGTGACATTAAGTCAGTAAATTGGATTGTTCGGGTCGGGTCACGTTGACGCACCCGAAAAGAGGTCGCAGGTTCGCAGCTTCCGTGAAGGTGTCTGGGCGGAAAATTCCAAGTCATCTGAACGCAAAACGAATTTATCTTCTCCTTCGCATCAGATTGTCGCCAATCCTTTGCGGCAATTCGGGTTTGTTGTAATTCTGGAGAGAGAAGAGAGAGAGGTTTGGGGAAATTGAATCATGGGTCTCTTGGCTTATGCCGTTGCTGGTGGGGGGTTTACCGTCATGGGCGCGTGGGAGTCACTCGACTCCTCGAATCCGGATCCAACCCTGTCTCCTGGTACGGACCCTTCTTCCCCTTCGACCCAGATCAGGCCTTCTTCGGTTTCTGCGGTACCAAAACCCGTGCGATCGTCTTCCGTCGCCGTAGCTCTGTTTTCGTCTCTCTTTGTAGTAAACTCCATTTTCTCCTTCTTCAGTTCTTTCGGATCCCACGATCGAGTCGGGTCGGTGCTCCAGTTGCAGATCCTGGCGATCGCAGCTTTGTTCCTGGGATACTCCATTCTAGGCTTTCTGGTCAACTCCAAAAACGCTGCCTTTACTCTTCCGTCTTCGGTTACAAGTCTGATACTTCTGTTCGGCTTCATCGAAGAATTCTTGCTGTTCTACTTGCAAAGGAAGGATACGTCCGGAATCGAGAATCGATACTACGATCTCATGCTCGCGCCCATCGCGATCTGTGTGTTCTCGACGGTTTTAGAGCTGAAATCCGAGACGAAGGCGCATCGTTTCGCGAAATTGGGTCGCGGGATCGGTCTGATTCTGCAAGGAACGTGGTTTCTGCAAATGGGGGTATCGTTTTTCACCGGTTTGATTGCCAGTGGCTGCTCATTGCACGAGAAGAGCCGAGGGAATTTCACGATCAAGTGTAAAGGACACGACGAGTATCACAGAGCAAGGGCTATAGCAACGCTTCAGTTCAACTGCCATTTGGCTCTAATGGTCGTTTTAGCAACCGGGTTGTTCTCTATTATGGCTAACAAGTACGGATATAGCCGTGAGGATCTCTCAAATTATCGACCGCTCGGAGGTGAGATGACCCAGATGGAGAATTTAAGTTCTTTCACTCTGGATTCTGACGAGGAAGACGAGATTCGGGAAGAGAGCGCAGTGGCTAAGAAGGAGGATACGGGTTTGAATGGCTTTGGCTCACACGATTGAGGGTACAAAGCAAAGTTCATGCCTTTCTTTTGCATTTGATCGTTTTGGAAATGCTGTCGGTATATGGGAGGATTCACTTGATATGTACAACGGTTCTATTCATGTTCTAAAGCTTCTACTCTGATGGTTGTCAGCATGAAACATCAAATGTTAACTTTGTTCTTTTTCTCTGATGTTGAATGGAGAAGACTAACGTTCTGATGACTGGTAATTGAAGAGAAATTGTCTTGTGCATCGTTTGGTGTTTTGACTGGGTAACTGTGTTATGTTATGGATTGTTTGGTAATGACATATGCGCCTTACCCTTTTTATTTTTATACCGGACGCGGACTGATTCCTTTTCGCGTTTGCATACAAGGAGGGCAACTTTCTAAAAGCATCCAACTCTTGTGGGTTTCTAGACACCGAGGACATTTTGGCCCTATGTTGATCAGACAAGCAAAACTAATCCATCTTAACTGGGTTGGGAGAGAGAGAGAACTATATCTCAATCAGTGTCTTTCTTGTTTCCGACAAGCTCTATCGGTTTGGTTTAGCTCCGACCTTGAAATGGTACATGGGAAGTGGTCATTTCAGGCAATGGAAGAGGGAAAGTGACAGCATTGCCTAGTTTCTCTCGTTGTCATTGTTCGTGATATTGGTATCACACACAGGTGTTGTCTATCAGTAATTCAGTATTATCTTTTGTGGTTCACTTCGAATGCCCTTATTTCCATGGCGGAGAACAGAGAATTGCCCTTCCCCCGCAACGAATGTTGATTTCCAACTTCTTGTGGAGTTACATTGTGGATCCTTCACGCCTTTACCCGATCCTTTACAATGTGACATCCTGTCTGGCATTGTTCAAAGATGTCGGAGTTTCAAAGGGTAAGACCGACTTCTACGGATCTACTGCGCGAAGACATGGAGATGATGCTTCGTTATGCAGCTCCAGGGCTTCGAGATAACGTGGGATGAGAACGGCAAGTCTCCTCCGGAAGAAACTACATCGTCTTGCTATTCAGACTCTGCGCATGAATAATTTACTATTATACCCCTGATATTTAACGTTATTTACAATTTTACTTAAGTTAAAATTTGCCCTTCTTTTTTTTTTTTTTTCTCGCGTCTCTCGTTGCCTCTCAGTTTCACCCAGCCTCTTTCGCGTGCGTCCCCTCTCATTTGTGCAGGATTTGGAATCTGTAGATCTGTATTTCTTTCTCACGGTACGTGACTATCTCTTCGATTTTGATGTTAGAGGCTAGGATTTCGAATCCTTTTTTTGGTGGATTTTCCTGTGAATTCTTTTTGTTGGATTCGGATCCGCGACATCTGAATCCGATTTCCTAAAAGTAAGTTAATCGTTTCCGAGAGCCTAGTCATGGATTCGATATGATTGTGCCCACCAAATTTCCTATAGATCCCCTTAATTGAGTATCGGAGCTGGATTTGTTTGGAGCCTGGTCATTAGGTGTTTGTTAATGAACAATTACTGCTTTGATTATTGTGCGTGTACTGTTGTTTGGATGGTGTTCGTCAATGAACCACTACAATTCTTGATTTCTTTCCGGCTGAAAATTGATGAGATCCGTGGATTTGTTTGATGAAGATTGCAACTCTGGAATATTTACCCTTGATTTTCAATGGTTTTAAGTTCCGGTATGTTCACTCTACTTGACTTATCAATTCTCTAGAGAAGTGCATCTTTGTGGGTTACTGGTTTGCTTCAATTGACATATCGACGAGGACATATTTTTTTGGTACCTAATTCGGCTTGGCTCCCGAATCTTTGCTTATCAAAGATGCGAACATCCTCTTGCCACAATGTTGTCATAGAACGGACTCGTAAGAGAATTATACTCACTAATTGTTTATGGTCTTCTGGGAAGATAGCAGTTTTTGCTCCTTATCACTTTACACCGTTCCTGCTGGTTAGAAGTTGTCATGTTGCTTTCATATTTTCAACAACTTTCTATTCTGTGCTATTTCTTAGAGCATGTGTGCTATTTATATCGCTTATACTTACCGATTTATTTAGTGGACACCAAAAAGTTTAGCTGCATATGATTGTTTTTTTTTTGTTATCACTTGAATAATCTAGGCTATTTGCAGTTGTCTGGAGTTCTTCATTCTTCGAACATGAAAATGCTTCTTTCTTCTCATGTATGTTTGTTTATCTTTATTCGTGTTCACTCTATATTATTGTATACTCATTTCTTGCCTAGGGAGCGAATCACAAAAAGCAACATTTATGCGTACTGATAATAATACTTGTGTATCTTGAGTTATTTTCCCGTGAATTTATATGTAAAGTCTCTACAATTTTACGAAGCTGTGTTTGTTAATCGTGTTTTCATATACTACATCTTGCTTCCGGTCAGATCTGTATTGTGCATCTTTAATGTGTGCTAACCAGAACTCTGTAATCATTAGTCCGCTGTGTTTGTGTCGGTTTGAGAATGTTTCAAGTAAGATTTTTAGCCAATCTCGTAGTTAGATGCACTCTGCTTGCCTCAAGTGCTCATCCAGAATTTTTACTATTTGGATTATCTTTTTATGTGCATTTTACCAGAACGGATATTCTAATTCCATAAATCATGGAATGTACTTTGGTCACAGGGAAAACATTCTTGAAACATGCCTGCCCAAAAGATCGAAACGGGTCATGAGGACATGGTCCATGATGTGCAGATGGATTACTATGGGAAGCGTGTAGCCACTGCCTCATCTGACTGCACGATCAAGATAATTGGCGTGAACAGCAGTGGTGGATCGCAGCACCTAGCTACCTTGACAGGACACAGGGGTCCCGTCTGGCAGGTTGCTTGGGCTCATCCAAAGTTTGGTTCGATCTTGGCTTCGTGTTCATATGATGGACAAGTCACAATCTGGAAGGAAGGTAACCAAAACGAATGGACACAGGCTCATGTCTTCACCGAGCATAAGTCATCAGTGAACTCTATCGCGTGGGCACCCCATGAACTCGGGCTCTCCTTGGCATGTGGTTCATCTGATGGAAACATATCGGTTTTCACAGCCAGGGCTGACGGTGGCTGGGACACGACTAGGATAGACCAAGCCCACCCGGTCGGCGTCACTTCAGTCTCATGGGCACCATCCACAGCCCCAGGTGCCCTTGTTGGTTCTGGTCTGCTTGAGCCGGTTTACAAGCTAGCATCTGGTGGGTGCGACAACACCGTGAAAGTGTGGAAACTCTACAACGGGTCGTGGAAGATGGACTGTTTCCCGGCTCTACAGATGCACAGTGACTGGGTCAGGGACGTGGCATGGGCGCCGAACTTGGGTCTGCCGAAATCCACAATAGCGAGTGCTTCACAAGACGGGACAGTGGTGATATGGACAGTGGGGAAGGAAGGTGAGCAATGGGAAGGTAAGGTTCTGAAGGATTTCAAGACGCCGGTGTGGAGAGTCTCATGGTCGTTGACCGGTAACTTGTTGGCAGTCTCGGACGGCAACAACAACGTTACCTTGTGGAAAGAAGCTGTTGATGGTGAATGGCAACAAGTGAGTGTTGTCGAGCCCTAGGTTTGGTTTTGATCTCTCTTAAACCCAGACAAATTTTTTTCCCGTTACAGACCGGTTTTGACTGGGAACATCATGGTATTTGGTTATCTCTAAATACGTACCAGAAAACTTCTTGGTGGATGTTATATTTATCTGTATTTGATTTCGCTTCAATGATAACTAGCAGCAGTGCCTCTTATTGAAGAACAAATAACATACAGAACAGACGGGCTGGATATCTTAATGGATCTTGTGGTATATTGGGCTTTAGAAAACCCCCCACTGACAAATCCTGATTACTTAAATAAAATAATAATCATTAAAATATTGCAATATATATATGTAAGAGAAAATGGAGGGGAAAAAGCAGAAAGATTCTTTGATATCAACGCTTGTCACGCAGCCACACAACGGGAGAGAGAGAGAGAGTCCAGACGCTCATTTATGGCTGCCGCATCAGCTCGAGCGTTCATGCTCTCCCGTATCACTGATCTGTCACGCAAGAAGCCTATCCTGCATCCTCCGCGTCCTACTTCTCCGCCTTCACCGTCGCTTTCTCCTTGCCGGTTACCGAACCGCGCCATTTCATCCGGCGTCATCAGCTGTCTCAGCGGCGGCGGAGTCTCATCCGACGATTCCTACGTCTCCACGCGCCGGTCGAGGTTGGACCGAGGTTTTGCTGTTATCGCCAACATGGTGACCCGGATCGAGCCGCTTGATACGTCCGTCATCTCCAAAGGCATTTCGGATTCGGCTAAGGATTCGATGAAAGAGACGATATCTTCTATGCTTGGGCTCCTTCCCTCAGATCAGTTCTCCGTCTCTGTCACCGTCTCCGAGCAGCCTCTGCATCGCCTTCTCATTTCTTCGATCATCACCGGGTAAATTTCGGTCACTTGGTCCCATTTCTTGTTCACCAAACTCTGTATAGATTGACCGTGGAAAATTTCGATCTGTCTATCTGATCATTCCTTGCATATATATAGGGGAATTTCGATCATCTTCGTCTGCACAACGTAATTTAGAGATTGGCTTCTTATGATTGCCTTTTTTTTTCATGTCGTGAATTTTTAGTTATACATTGTGGAATGCGGAATACCGTGTATCCTTGACGAGGAATTTGGATATACCGGTTGATGCAAGACAGAAGGAAGAAGAACTTCCGAAGGAACATGCCAGATGTGGTTCGGAGGAGGCAGTGAATGAGAAACTAAGGAATTGTTTTGAGGAATTGGAAAGGATGAGTCCACAGGTGCTTGGGGATCTATCACCTGACTCGTTGAAATATATCCAACGATTACAGTCTGATTTATGTAGCATGAAGGAGGTAATATCAGATTCATGTGTGAATTTCAGGTTCTGCAGTCTCTTATTTGTCCATAAGCTAATTTCATCGCTTGATACGAATGAACTATGGTATGCCTGTCAAGTTCCTTCTGTTATTGAGTGTTTCTGTAGGTTTTTGAACATGGATTGATGTTAGAATCTTGTTACTTTCAGGAGGATTAGAAGTTATGTCTGTTGATAAGAATTTCACAGTGCTGGCTCAAACTGAGAAGACTTTTGGAAGTAAAATTCTTGGTAGTAGTAGTTGTTAGCATGTGTCTTGCCGTGTTGAATCTCACCATACTGTGGTCGCTTGTTGCAAGCTTGTCCTCAGTGGCTTATGGTCCCTATGATTTTGGTTCCTGTGACTTGGTTGATTTGAATATCCATTACTGTTGCGGCTGCTACTGTTTTATTTCTCATTTCTTTAGTAATGGATGAATGGTTGTTTCTGATACTTTTGAGTTCTTATTAATTTTTTTATCATATGTATTTTTTTCAGGAATTAGATGCCCAAAAGAAGAAAACTCTGCATATAGAAAGTGGGAAGGGAAATAAAAATGATTTGTTGGAGTATCTACGCTCCTTAGATCCTGAGATGGTAATAAACTTAAGGTTTCCTTGATGTTCATCCTCCTCAGCATCGTAGTTTTCAAAATTTCTTGGTAACATATAAAATATAAATTCATGTTTATAGGTGACTGAGTTATCTCGACCATCATCACCAGAGGTGGAGGAGATCATAAACCAACTTGTCCAAAATGTGTTGCTGAAGATCGTTGAAGACAAGACCAACTCAGATTTTGTTCGAGATGCTTTCTTAAGGACTACAGAGGGTAACCAAGATGGTGGCAGTGGAACTTGTAGAATAGTGGACACATCTCGGGATTATCTTGCAAAGCTCCTCTTTTGGTAAGTTTTTCGAGCTCTTACCTATCCTAAAACACTTGTCTGTTGAGATTATTGCTTTCAAAAGGCTGACAAGGTGGGAAGATTTTGGAGCGGCTCAGTTTTCACTTGACTACAAACTGTATCTCCAAGATTTTGGAATGGAGGTGGTTTCACATTCTGTATTAAAAATGATTGCTGCTGGTGGCGGTGGTTTCAGGTGTATGCTAATGGGACATCATATAAGAGGGTTGGAGAATAGATTGCATCTCAGTTGTGCTGTTGGGTTGCTGTAAATCACACCTTCTGCAAAGGAGAGGAACTCACACACACACGCACAATGTCAATGTATATTCCCCTTTGCCTGACCCTTCTCTCCCATTTTTAATTTTGTTTTGTCAATTCATAATCTTCCTCCAGTTTTTACTTTTTTTTTTAAATTTATAGTTCTTCCAATTAGAGTTGAGTTTGTATATACAGATATATCAAGTCTGATAGGAAGATGACTAAGAGGAATGAAGGTAAGTGTCGGGCATTTCCTATTATAATAGATCAATAAAGCCAATATCCTTGTTTGTGCAGAGCATTCTTCAACCCATTTGATCAATTGTTGTCCCCTCCGAGAAATCCACTTGATCAAGTTATGTCCATATGTTTATTGCTTATGGCATATGGGTTGTTATCGTATGACACTTCTTAGGTTGCCGTATGGACAAGGAAAGGCAAGAAGTTAAAAGAGGTGGATTGCATATATATATATATCGAGATGGAGAGAGCGGTTAGGGCTCTTCCCACACAAGAAGCGTGTCCCTCACAACACCATAACAAAGTCGTCACACATTACCTGCCATATTCCCCCCTTCCCTTCTTCCCTTCTCTCTGATCTCTTTTTCTTCTGGGATTCAAATCAACAGAGCTCAAAAATGGGGCTTCACCCAGTGTCGGAGGCGACTGAGCAGAGCCCCTTCGGCTCTCTCTCCGCCGATGAATTCTACAACCGCCACTCTGTTAGCCACTCCTCCGCCTTTGTCACCAATCCTCGTGGCCTCAAGCTCTTCACCCAGTGGTGGTCTCCACTTTCCGGCCGACCCCTTGGCTTGGTGGCCGTCGTCCACGGCTTCACCAGCGAGTCAAGCTGGTTCCTCCAGCTCACATCTGTCCTCTTCGCCAAATCCGGCTTCCTCACCTGCGCCATCGACCACCAAGGCCACGGCTTCTCCGACGGCCTCATCACTCATATCCCCGACATCAACCCTGTTGTCGACGACTGCATCTCCTTCTTCGACGATTTCCGTAGCCGCCACGTGCCTCCCCACCTCCCCTCCTTCCTCTACTCAGAGTCACTCGGTGGTGCCATCGCTATCTACATCACTCTCCGCCAGAAAACCCTATGGGACGGACTCATCCTCAATGGGGCCATGTGTGGGATCAGCCCCAAGTTCAAACCTCCATGGCCATTGGAGCACCTCCTCTCACTCGTCGCCACCCTCGTCCCCACTTGGCATGTCATCCCCACCCGTGGCTCCATCGCCGGTGTGTCCTTCAAGGAACCGTGGAAGAAGAAACTCGCTCTGGCTAGCCCTCGGAGGACTGTGGCTCGACCACGTGCCGCCACCGCCTATGAGCTCATGCGTGTCTGCAGGGATCTGCAGGGGCAGTTCCACGAGGTTGAGGTTCCTTTCCTGATCGTCCATGGTGGCGATGACGTGGTCTGTGACCCGTCCTGCGTGGAGGAGCTTCACCGGCGAGCCATGAGCGTTGATAAGACCATCAAGATCTATCCTGGGATGTGGCATCAGCTCATCGGAGAGGCTGAGGAAGACGTCGATAAGGTTTTCGCGGACATTTTGGATTGGCTAAATACTCGAACTGAGACTGTCGCTGTCGATGGTGGCGCTTAGGCCTCTGAAGTATATCATGAAACAAATAATCAATCAACAATGGGCATTCGTCAATTTGCGTGAAACTTTCCGAGAACTTTGTAGGCGAGAATATAATATAAAAATAATAAAGGAAAAAGGAAAGGTCTTTGCAATATATTTTATACGGCAATCATGAGAGGATATGGACCAACATCTATAAGGAAAAGGACTTACTTTTGTTGGCCGATCTATATACAAAGAACGAGGCATCCTCTCTCCTCTATATTTACAACCACCAATTCTTTAAGCACACCTAACGTTTGAACTTAACCATTACATACGAAGGCATATACACAAGCTAACAAGGGAAGTGAAGCTAAAAGACGAGCAAGTAACCGCCCTTTCTCCTCGACCTTCCTTGGGTAAGAGTAAGAAATATCAGAACCTAATCCAGACAGCATCCAAAGCCGTCACGGATCAGAGAACCAAAGACACAATAGGGAGAATGGATTCTAGAGTTCCTCTCCCTCCAGATAGTGCAAATCATGATCTAAATACCTCACTGTAGTGTATACCTCGTTGGTATCCTCGTTCTCCTTCCCATACGTGTCCAAGATATCCAAGAAGGATTTATAGAAAAGCTCATCGTGTTGGATTGAATATATTGGAGTAATGACAGATCATAATAGAATTCCAACATTGATTTTATTCACAAAGGTTACGGCTTCTTCAAATTCAACAATCTAACGGAGCTTCATCTTCATCGAGTGCTATTTTATATCCCTCAGGCAAAAAGGTGTTAAAGCCACGGATCAAATTGCTATGTCCCTTGAACAACTCCTTCACCCGTGCAACCACACCAGCTGTGTCCGCCCTGCCAAAGCAAAACACAAGATCATGCAGCTTCTCTCTTCTTCTTTCATTCTCAGCACTTGAGACAAAAACCAAAGTCTTTACCTTCCATGTTTAAAGTCTTTCATAACCTCAATGAACATATCATATTTCTCCCCCTGATCCAGAAGCACCTCCTTCACTTCATTCAGGTATCTTAAAGCATCAATCGCTGTCAACCTCCGAGAGCCACTTCCTCCTCCTCCACCAGTAGGGATCTGAGATCTGCCCAACAAAAACCCTAATCAACCAGTAAATCTTGAAACGACCATAAACCCTCCGGTAAACCTCGTGGCTAGAGATTTGAATTTTCAAGTGACGAAGCAGGAACTCACGATTCTCCTCGAGCATAATCCAAAAGACATTCGAATGGAGTCCCAGAGGCATGTAAATCATCTCTTATCCGCTTCATTTCTGCGAAAAAAAGTACACGGTCAGAGGAAACCTACTTTCTGGCAGTCAAGATTTTCCCAAGAAAATAACGGAAAAGGACGAAACACGAACCTCAGATTCTTGAATCAGAGTGGAATCACCGACGAAAGTACATAAAGTATAGAACGGATAATTCCGGCGAAGCTTTAAATTTCCAAGCTTACATACAACAATGAAGAAGGTTTCTGATGATGCTGGACAAGAACAAGAACACGGAGAAAGATGGAGACGAATGTGCGCGCGTGCGAGAGAGAGAGAGGAGAGGAAGTTGAGAATTTTCGAATATGGGAAGAAAAGGCTGGCGGGGGTTCATATAGCTTCATTTTGGGCCGAGAAGTTCAATATTTAGCCCATACAATTTTATTTGGGCCTTCACTTCGTCCGTTAGGCCTTTTTATTTTTATTTCATTAGAATGATTTATTATATAACAATCGAGCCGATTGATATTGAGCCCATTAAGTATTCATATAACCATTTACATTATCCGAATTAGAAAGCCATTCTATTGAGCTGCGGAGGCCTATTTGTAGGCCCATTTCATAAATTTAGGGCTTTTACTATATAAGCCCAGGCTACTTACAACAAGTGGCCGTTCTTTTGAGCTTAAAATAACCAATGATGTTTAATGGGCTTTGTTGCTTAATGGGCTCGGCCCACATCTGCCTATAGTTCGTTCACTCTGATAGCCGTTGATATTCCAAGTCATTTGCAGTCTGCAGATTGAAGAATCTCACTGTGGTCGTTATTAAAATTAGGCATTATTGCATTCGTTTATTTTGAAACTCTCTACAATATCATGTTATTTTAAATAACACGTATTCATTTAAATTTATTTGATTATCGATACAAAATAATGCTTGTACATTTGTTTTGTCTTTTGGTTCGATTGGGTATATCATCAATTTATTCTAACAAAAGCTCTAATAAATCCAATAATCAAAATTTCAGAGGTATTGGTTGGTCAAATTGAAGAGATTTCCTTTCAAACGAGGAAAGAAACATTCAAACATGGGTGGAGTCAAAATATTGTTGTTTTGGTCTTGGTCGTCACAAGACTTTGTATAGACTATATATATATATAGAGAGCTTTGTGTGTGTGTGTGTGTATAGATGATCCAACTAACTCTATATGTACGGAATTTGCCTTTTATATGGAGATTATATGTCATTCGGCATTTGCTTTATCTTTAATCACGTGGGAGATTTGACTAATAACACATCAGGTGGACCCTCGTTAACACGCAATGGGCAAAGCCCGTGTACATTTTTATCTCTAAAAATGGACAAAAAAATAAATCATATGTTTATCTTTTCTTTAAAAAAAAAATCGAATAAATAGATTAAATTGCGAAGCAACTGAATATACAGATTTTTTTTAACAACGTGAATGTGATAGTTTTGTGCGATTCCTTTTTTATAAAATTTATTGTTTTACTAATTAAGATATAAAATTAATAATCTATAGAAGTAAAGTATTTATAGCACTATCAACTTGTGTTGTGTAATATTTCATATAAAACATGTCAATAATAAAACCTCCCTCAGATAACGATTGTTCGCACAAATTAACTCTTGTCCCGTGGTATAAATAATACATATTAATATGTGTATATGTATATGATTGGGTCAAATAATCATCATAGATCTAAAGTGCAGTTGCCATTTGCATTTAAATAAGTTTATGAAAGGAAACGCAACTAGTATAGCCCCACTTGCTCTAAAATACATGCATAAACAAAACAATAATATTCGTTCGGATTGGAAAGAAGTGTGAAAACGTGACGAACCGCGTTCTCATTTCATTTTTATTAAAACTGTATTATAAAAAATGTAAATGAACCCTAAATAGCCCTCTATATATATATATATATATATATGTGGAACCGTCGGTCCAAGCGTTGTGAGACAAAATGACAGGAATTTGAGGGGATTCATGTCGCAGGAGAGATGGCACCATTGCATGTGAATTAAGGTACACGGAGTGTTAATTTCTGCATCTATTTGCTTGCGCATATTATCTGTACATGTGAATGATCAATGTGAGCATGAAAAATGCATAAATTTCAGTTGTAATGAGCTTTTCGATCGATAAACATAGGCACGTGCATGATATGTTGATGTATGCATACGCCTATACAATAGCACACTATATATGTATGCATGCATGTGAATATGTATATACATGTGCGTGAGTGTCTGTGTGATATGTATGAAGATCTGCAGGAGAACGCAGACATGGTAATGGTGCCATCTTCCTGTGACACGAAACCCCCTGAAAAATTCCAATGGATGCTTCATTTCATTTGATCTACTCTCCCTATCTCTCTCTCTCTCTCTCTCTATATATATATATATATTTATGAATTCTGCTGTATAACCATGTTCCCTTGATAAAAGAAGAAGATGATCTCAGATGAATCTCGTCTAACCCCCAAACATTTTCACCGGGAAATGCATCATACATACACAAGACCCAGAAGCTATACAAACACAGCCATCGTCAAGAATCAGAATCCACATCCGTTCTTTGTCCCTTTTGTATGATTCCCCTCACTATGTTCACTTTCTCTTCTGTATCCTGTTTCTGTATACATAAAACTAGTTTTTGATCATTTGTCCTTTCTCCTATCACTTGCACTGCCTCGGCCTGAAATTCTCAGTTGCTAACAAATGGCTTATAAGACTCTCGAGCCGTTTGGCCCCGGCACCAGGCCTCACGGCTGAGGTGTCACCGGTGATAGAACAAGGGTCACTTCCGTTTTCCCTGGATCCAATACACCAGCCGCCAGGTGTGACCATCCCAGGATTCCTGAGCAATAGTTCTGAGTCGATCGTATCAAGAACAAGTTCATCCCTCCTGAACTTTCGGGCAAAGGGGGCATTGCTTTCCACCATTCTGTCAAAGTCTTTGAGGGTGAGATGGTGAGGGTGCTGCTTTGGGGGGTGGTCCCATGATATGAAGTGAAGGTCGCTGTTCACGGTCGTATTCCGGAACTCTTGAGCATTGCAGATCACGGTGTGGAAGTAGCCTTCGGGTGATGAGAGGAAGTTTGCATAGTACATTAGGACAATCCGTGGAAGGTTGTCCCATCCCCAGATGAAATAGTCCACGAAAGGCCTTGACAGCACCATCCACGCAGATCCTGCAGAATCAAATCAGCTATGCATATCAAGTTTAAACCATCAAGACCCGAGATTCTTCCTTCAACAGCGAATCAAATCAGCTATGGTGCTTCATGTTCCAGTCGAAACATCAGAGGCCAAAAAGATGACATCTTTTCGATTTTTCTAACATGGTGGCAAGTAGGAATTGTATCACTATGAGCCACCCCACATAAATCTACACATGGCTGGAGAAAAGCTCAGATTCTAGAGCTTATCGATGGAGCCATCAGCTCAAACATCCTAAAGTTGAGATACACATCCTGCATCTTCAGTCCCATTCAATACGGTATATGATTAAACCAGACATTGCTGCTATTCAGATCATAACGCCTACGCATACACACATATGTATAAATATCCCATCCAGATATGGATCATGGATTCTTTTTCTTTTGCCTATTATGAACACTCTATTCATCATCCAGCAACTTCCAGATATAAACAAACATATACCCCTATATGCTCATTGCTCACCTGTGTAGAGTTTGAATGCCGTGGGCACACTCCTCTTCTGCGTCACCCAGAAAACATCCGCTTTCTTGGACATGTACAATCCCGGATCGATGATTATCGGCTTTGCTCTGTGATTCCTACAGATTTCCAAAACCCAACACAGAATCTTAGGATGGCGTCCGAAAGGGACTTTTTTTTGGGGGGGGTGCACAGTTCATAGCAATACTCACTCTTTCTGCCTCAAGGCCCACCCAAATCGATGAAGTTGAGGTCCCGAGGCAAATACGAGAATGTGTGCAACAGATCTGAGTCGAATCAAAACGAACGCAGATAAGAACAACATGGATCCAATTCCATGGATAGTGGGGGAATTTCATCGAAAAGGAGAAAGGGTTTTACCGTCCTGCGTGACGAGAGGGTAATCGGAAGCGCTGAGATTGATGAACCAATCCCATTTACCCCCTTCTCGGAGCAAAATCGCCGCCGCATGAAGCGTATTGGCGACCATTGTCGGGCCACGGTACGTCACCAAGTTCGCCTTCGTGATCATCCGAACATTCTGGAACTTTCGGAACAAGGTGTGATTCGCGACGAACTCACTGAGATCCAGCCGTTCTTCCGGCGACGATTCCCGGTCGAGATGAACAACGTACTGGTTGTTCGGATGGTAAAGCGCCATTAACGTCCGCTTGAGCATATCGCCGTCCCTGGCGGAGCCGGAGATGAGATAAGCGAATCGCGGCGGCGGAGGCAAGGCGGAGACTTGCAAGGGCTTGATCTTGGACTCGACGAACACGGAGGATCCGAATCCATACATAGAAACGGAGCGGTAAAACGGGATTAAATGGGTTCTTCCGGGGGAGGAAGCTAAGCTTGTGAGGAACAAGAGCAACAGAGAGAAAATGAATCCGATCGCCAATGGCAGAACCCATTTCCGTTCCACGCCTTGCTGGTGCCGAACGTGCATGCAATAGCTCTTCAATTTCTTCATTTGGAATCCTAATCGGACCCGAGAATGGATCGAAAAGGGTTGGAATCGTACCCAAGAGCTCCAAACCTGAAGAAAAATTACTTCTTGGGCGTTACAGATCAATCTGGGATGAAGGAAAGCTTCAGTTGTTGGAGTGTTTGGGTTTAGTTTTGGAACGTGCGGAAAAAAAAAACTCGTGTTCTTTGTCATCGCTTTCGTCTTTTATATATATATATATATATATATTGCATATCATTCTTGATTTTATTTTCTTTCTATTTTATTTTAAAAATCTATAGTATTTTTTGATACTCACAATCCCTTTCTTCTATATTCCGATTTTTTTTTCATAAAATAATGGATATAAAGGAAAAAATATTAATATTTACAATCAGAAATTTATATAATCAGAATACTCTCTGATCTTTCGAGTAACTTATATACCTCAATAGTAAAAATCATAATTATGGATGATGCCAGTTTTATTTTGTGTTGGAAATCTAAATCCATATTATTTATGTTTTTTAAAAAATATACTAATGTTGATGGTTGGTGAAAGTCTCCAATATATATATATATATATATATATATATTTGGCATGGGAGTTAATGCGGTTGGAGACTATACATGTAAATAAATCCACGAGTGTAAGGGAAGTACTTAAAATGAAGAATTTCATACATTGATAAAAAAAATTAGCGTTCCAAACAAATGGAAAATCATTTACCATAATGTACAAATAAATTAAATTCCACTGCATATATATTGTTAGATTAACTCAAATTCTTTCATGGGTGTCGTGGTTCTTTAAAAAAAAACTAACTAAATCATTGCTTGATGAGGTTGTTCAAAATGCAATTAATAAAAAAGAACCCATAATGTTTTTTTAGATCCATTAATGTCTCTTTGGGATTATTAGAATGGTTTTTGAGGGATTATTTTATTTTCCGATAAAACAAATACAAAACACACACATATATATATATATA